ATATATATATATGTACATATGTAGATATGTATATATTATAGTTTTGACTCACACGTATATAAACGTATATATACAAATGATGCTTACAAGTGCAGGGAATAAAAACAACGACACACATTCAAACAAAAGGATAATGAGTCTATTTGTGAACATTTGACTCGTTGTGTACAAATGTGATACAAAGTATTTGTTACTACACAATCACAGCACACCGTACATACACATGGCACTCAAATGTCGGAAGGTTGGGTGACAATCATATAACAAAGTAGCGGCAGCAACAGCAATAGCAACAGCAGCAGCATCGCTTATTTATTTTACATGCATGCAAACGCGTATCAACATTCACATTCGCACGCATACTCACACGCATACAAACACAAACACGCACTTATATGTTTCTATGTAAACCTCTATACCGATCATAGTGAAGAACTGCATAGGTGGGCATTTGTTTAGTTGGTATGTATGTGAGCATGACATGACAGGGCGTAAATTCATTTATTTATGTGGTGTTATTCAATGTTGGAATGTAAGTGTGTGAAAAGCAAGTGTTAGTGCGATAGTGTGCGTATTGTGGTATGTATTGTGTAGCATTATGTCGTCGTGTTGGCAGGTGGAGAGAGAAATAGAGTTATGTGTTAAGAGGAAAGCTTTAAGATATTTTACAAAATCTTTTACTCCTACGTATTAACATACATACATATATTCATGTGTACATATAAAATGCGAAGCAATCAATGAGAAGACAATCTTCTCTCTTTTCATAGCTTATGTTGCGAAGAGAAGAATTTCAACCATTTGTTAGAAAATGGTTGCAAAGTATGCAGTCAATGCGCAACATGCACACACACCCATGCATTACTTGTATGTAAATTACTAGATTTATCCTTACATACGTTTGGGCAAATTTACAAACTTTTTTTTTACCGCGCCCAGCAAGGATATACGTTCACAACAGCCGTCATCAGCCACAAATGTGAGCAGACATTCAAGTAAACATATGTATAAAATATATGTAAAGAAACTTTATTTATATCACACACAATCGCATATAGATTTAAAAAAAAAAAAAAAAAAAAAAAAAAAAAAAAAAAAACTTCACCACCTTTCTCTCTCTTACTCTCTCTCTCTTTCCTTCTTTCTTTCTTTCTTTCTTCCTTTCTCTCTCCCTCTCTCTCTCTCTCTCTGTTTTTCACACGCACACACACACACACACATACACACATATATATTCTCTCACTCTCTTTGTTTTCTTCTCTCATTTCCTCTGTTCTTTATATATCCTTCTGCTCCTTTCTTTAACTAAAAGTTATAGGAAAATTTTCATCATCATCCTCATTATCTGCATAAGTGTAGGCAACATATCATTAACATTTCTTGGCTTAAATTTGCTTTCGCTCTATTGATTTTTAACATAAGCAAAACCCCAAAATGTGTAAACACTTGCACAAATACACACACATACAGATTTATATATGTATTTATACAAAAGTCAATTTTCACTATAAAATCCACGGTTTGCTGCTGTTGCTGACTAAGGACATGTATGTATGACTAGGTGTTTATGCTTTTCATCTTCTCTTAACATTCTCATCATCACCACGTATATATTCATTCATTCATTCAATAATAAATTCTATGTTACATGTTAAGTAACTTGGTTTGATTGGATACACATGTACATGTATCCGCGTACGTTTTCGTCTTTATAGATATGTGCGTTTATGTACGTATTTTCGTTATTGTTGATTCTTGTCTTTTATTTCGCTTTTCTTCTCTTCGCCTTGCTTTGTTGATTCGCCTGTGTTTGATGATTCAATAGATTATGTGGTATTGTTGAAGCTTGATATAGATATATGTGTAGATATGTGTGTCACATGATATGTGTAAATGTATGTTCAATTATTAGAAGGGTTTTTTCCCCAACCTTTTTGTCATCATAATTTTTCTCGCTTGCTTGTGTTTTGTGTGCGTGTGTGCCCGCACATGTGAATCATTTTTCTTTCCCTATGAAAATATTGAGAGTGTTGATGATGATGATGTGCGTGCATGTGTGTATGTATGTGTATGTGTGCAACATTTGATTTGCAACACCATTTCTTTTTCATTGTCATATATACGTCGACATATATTTCTGCATTTTTTTTATATTTTTTTTTATTCTTCACATTAAAGCTATTATCGGTTATTTTTTGTGAAGAACGAACGTTCAAGCATTCGATTGAATAGTTTATAAAGGAAATCAATCCAACGCTCTAAGTAAATGAATTCAACTATTTTCAGTGGAAAGAAGAAGAATTAATTAATGTCCTTTAGATGCTATCTACTAACCTATAAAGACACTCCTCTATTCGTTATATCTTTAATATTCCTGACATTCTCCATTTTTTTAAGCCTTGCAATATATTTGTAATGTAATAAATTGTAGGGGAGAAGATCCTCTCCAAATTCCGTTTGCTGTCCCACCAGTTCATATTGATAATAAAGCATATATGTTCAGCAAGAACTGCAAAGTACATCCATTCTGCTTTACTTTAATACTATGTAAGTACGTTTGCAAACAATCGCTATCGCTATCGCTTATTGCCAATGTTATATGTAAAGTTGAATTCACCTTTATACTACACTATGATTCCAAAGTTGGTAACAGCCGACGCATCCATCTTACATTTGCCGATTTTCAATTGCTTACCGCAATTCATTATGACATTTAACGGCCTCGTTTGGGTCTATAACAACAGTTTGAGTTACACCAATATAATATATATATTTATTTGTTGTTATTGGAAATTTAATCACTATCTGAACTGCTTAATCAATACTGCCGTAATGTTTCACGAGAGAAGAGTGTCATGCTTATATAGTATTATTGGAGAATAATGAAGGCTTTCATTTTTCTAGGCTTTTTTTCACAGCAGCTTAGTTATCCCAATTGAAATTCGAGTTATATAAATAATTCCGTCAGGGAATTTCTCGTTTCAGTTTATTCCAAATTCCTATATTGTTGAGTGCCGAGATTACTGTTATATGAGTTCACCATAGTTTAAATAAAAGAAATTATTGACAAGCAACTCAAGGATTATTTCTTACTTTTCCTCCATCTCCTCCAGTTTCCAGTTATCAACATATATACCGCTTCAGTTTTCAATTCTCTACTAATTAGCCATCTCTTCTTTAGGTTTCTTTCTTACGATTATTATCATTATATCGTCAGCAGAACCCAAAATTGAATCTTTCTCTCTCTCTCTCTCTCTCTCTCTTTTCTCTTTTTCTCTTCCTCTCTCTCTCTCTCTCTTTCTCTCTCTCTCTCTCTCTAGAGAAATCGAATAGTAGAATATTATCACACATAATATTCCATAGAGAGGAATCCGTAACTGACGCCCTTGATATTCCTCGAAAAGCCATTCTTTCTCTGCACTCTGCTTAAGGCAATGTTTTCTGCCAGTAAAGCCATTAGCCGCGTTACTAATAAGACATTTGTAAGCAATTCTTCTTGTCTCGAGGGCAACTATTACACAGTATCAATTGGTCTCCGTGCCCTGCTTAAGACAATGTTTTCTGCCATTAAAGCCATTAGCCGCGTTACTAATAAGACATTTGTAAGAAATTCTTCTTGGCTCGAGAACAGCTGTTATACAGTATCAATTGGTCAATTTGAGACCATTCTTAATATTAGAGCAATATTGTTACTATGTAAGCAATATTGTTTGTTGCCTCCTCTCTCACGGTTTCTTTGTACTGTTTCTGATGTTATATAGGAGCGATGGTACTGATTGCCTCCATAGTGCACCTCTTTCGCATGAATCTAAATTGATAAACACGACCGACTGTTGAAATTGTCAAGGGCCTCATAAATTTAACCTATCGTACCCCAACCGACGAATACGGCGGTAAGATCATGATTTATTATGTGGCTTCTTGGATTTAGGGAGAAGTATGAGTAATGTCCAGAAATATTTACTCTCTCAGGCACTCATGTACAAGTAACTCAGGCTTAGCGCTTGTTTGATGGATACCAATGCGTGCGTCTTCTGGCTTCTGTCGATCCCTTCACGTTTACATCTTATTATTTCTTTTCCTTTTTCCGTCTCTTATCAACTTAATTAAAAAATTATGTTTTTTTTTTGTGTTTTTTCTATTTTTCCGTTCCAGGAATACGATATCAAAGATCATCGACCGTTTCTATCACTAAATCAAAGTGGCCTCAATAAACCTGAACAAATCAAATTTGCACGCTATCTTGGGCAAGGTTTACCAACATTTACACTATTTTGCATTTATAGTAATTTTAAAAATTTATTTTGCACAAAACGTACCGAAATGTAAGTAAAATTGTTAACAGAGAACAAAATCCTTAAATTTGATAGCGAAATGCTTAATTTTTTGATTTTCGATTTTTTTTTTTTTTTTTTTTGCTTTTTTTTTCTGTTTATATATTTCACAGTTATACAAAAGATGGCTATAACTTGCCTTATATATTAGATAAAACAAAGCGCTTCCTGGCGAATACCACAGCGGGTAAGTTTTTGATATAAGCGAAAAATAAAACGAATCACACACGAAAAACGGAGATAAGACAAATATTAAAAAAATTAAGCGAATAAAATTCAAGCTTGTATAAAAAGTATTGAGCCTAATAAGAGAAAAGTTAACATTAATTATTTCCAAATGTTAGCAGAAGGTGACAATGCATTCTAATTAAGATCAGGCTTTTCCTTCCACGTGTATTAATAATGGAATCTTTCGCTCTATTTAACTTAGTACCAGATATTGGTATATTGAGTCAATCAAAGAAATATGTATGAATTTTGACTATGAAAAGGCTTATTATTTTTTCGACTGCGTGATACTAACTGAACAAGACAGAGTTTCGTAGTTAAATCTAATTTTTGTTCGTTGTTTTTTCGTTTTTTTTTTTCTTTTTTTTTTTCGGTTTGTTTAGTGATTTAGTCAAAATGTTTTTTTTTTTTTCAATTTTTCAATTTTTTAAAAATCTAGTAATACTGAATTAGGAGAGGTAATTAGTATATATATATATATACGTGTATATATATATATATATATATATATATATTATTTATAACATTTCCTAAGTAATTTATTTAATTAGAATTTTTTCGTTGCTGCTCTTTATTTATCATTTGCATTAATTTGTGTTTTTTAGGTAATAGCAATAACAATAATAGTAATGCCAATAATGCAACTATTGCTGGTAGTAGCAGTAACACAAATTCCACCTCAACCTCAGCCTCATCTCACAGCACAAACAATTCCAACACCACTACCACTACCATCATCAGCACTACCACAGTAACCAACAACATTTCCTATATCCCTCCGACCATATGTACAACAATTTCGAATGCTAACGTAAATCTCGCGGCCACAACAACAAATACGAACGGCAACAGTAATAACAGTAATAATAAAAGCAGCAGCAGCAGCAGCAGCAGCAACAACAGCAACAGCAACAACACCTATAATAGTAATATTAGCAATAATAATAAGAATAATAATAATAATAATAATAATAATAATAACAACAACAATAGCAATAATAATAATAGCAATAATAATAATTACAATAATATTAATAACAATAACAACAGCAATAAAACTCTTATATCAAATAACAAACAAATTCATAATGTGCCATCACCAACCACAACAACAACAACGACATTAAGAACCACACAACCACAACAGCAGCATCAACAACAACAACAACAACAACAACAACCACAATTACCAATACAACAACCACAGACCACACATTTGCCACCTCATCCTACTCAGCATGTACACATGATGATCGCCCATCATTCGCATAGTGGATTAACCATTCCGCTAAATAATATACAGCATGTGCAACACCATCAGCCAGCGTCGCCACAGCAACAGCAGCCACAAACATTGCAACAACAACCGCATCATGCCCATCATTCTCAAATGCCGTTGAGTCCCTTAGTGGCAGTCCCCGGTGTGCCGTCTACGCTCTTGGGCTCACCTGCAACGGCCAGTTTACATGCACATACGCTACATTCAGTTGCACCCTCTCCACACCTGCAGATGCATCATCAAATACATCATTCGCCTCAGCCACAACCCCATCCCGAGCATATTGCTGCCACTAACGCTTATCAACACCACCTCCAACACCACCATCACCATCATCCACATCTCCATAATCACCATCAACAACAACAGCAACAACAACAACAACAACAAACACCACCATCATCACATCATCCTATACACAATTTAACAGCAGCATCAACAACAGCAACAGCGTCCTCAGCGCACACACACAATCCTCACTAAATAATTTATACGGTCGGTCTCTAAGCAGCACATGAACAAACAAAAAAAAAAAAAAAAATTAAATAAATACAAATTCTCTGGCGCGCGCTAATTTTGCTATTTTTTTTAGCAAATTTTCGTTTAGTTGTATTTTGTGTTTGTGTTTGTTTTTCATTCAATTTTTATATTTAATCTAATTTCATCTCTTATTTAATGTTTTTGCGAAGGGGTACACAGTATTATGTTTATATGCACGCTCGCATGTACGTATGTATGTACGTATGCAAGCATGTATGTATGTATGTATGTATGTATGTATGTATGTTTGTATTGAGGCAACAAACACACATACAGACATAGACGCGCAATTTGCATTAATTTGAAATTCAAAAGCATACAAATGATTCTAATAAATCTTGAAAATTATAAAAATAAATTAAAACTAAATATCGTATACCTATCTACAAGTGTGTGCACATAAACAACAACGGCAACAACAGCAGTAATAATAATAATAAGAGGAGAAAAATTTATGCTCCTACATTTGGCTAAATTTAATATAAGATTAATGTTTGCTAAAAAAAATTTCCCTCAAAAAAAAAAAAAAAAAAAAATGAAGGCAACGGCTCCTAATTAGCTTTAAGTGAAATGTGCGCTTATTCAAAACTGGTGTAGGATTTCGTACCGCTTTCAATTAAAATAAAAAGATAAATAAATGAAAAAGGAGAGAAATGGATAGCACAGTGAACCCTGATAAATTTAGATCAACCGTTCATTTCCTTTCTTTCGCTTGCCCTTGCGCTCATACCAATCGTATGAGCACGGAGAGCAACACACTTTCGTGCTATTCGTTTTTCTTCATTTTCTTTTCTTTTTTTTTTTTTTTTCTTTTTTTATCTTTTAACCACCATAAAGGTTTACTTTAAGCTTGTGCAGTGTTTATATCGGAGACACTTCACAACACATATAACACTGTGATAAAACGATAATAAGACATTTCAAAGGAAACGCGAGCGCATTATTATTGTCCCCCTTCAAATAGAATGCGTTCGTGGCAACGTCTTTCCCACTCAGTCTTCGAAACATTTGCAAAAATCCGATGTCCTTCAAATGTCGAATGACCTTCAAAAACTCTTTAGCTCTTTAATCGCGACTTTTCGCATTTTAAGAATAGTTAAAATTGACAGGGAACTGGATCGGGCAAATACCACAACGATTGCGCAAGGATATGAGTTTGATTCAGCATTTTAGGTTAAAAAAAATATCAAAGCTCCAAGGCTCCGTACGCGAACGACGCATAATACATATATAAAATTCATAACGTCCCCACACTGCAAAGAAACCGATGGAAATATACTCTTACAGCTTTCTAACCGTAATACCATATATTCCTTTATTTATTTATTGTTTTTATACCCAAGACTTTAAGATCGGGTTATACTCTATTTTGTTTTTTTTAACATAATATATATGTAACATCCAAAAAGAAGGATAAGAGACCCTATAAATTACATTAAAATAAATTATATATATTCTTGATGATCAGCATGAAATCCTGAGCTGGTTTAGTCATGTCTGTCCGTCTGTCTCTCTGTGTGGTATTTGTTGCTTGCACTCTCCTGGTCGCAAAAATGTAGATAGCGCCTTTAAATTTGGTAGAAACATTGGAAGGTTCTGCAAGCAGTTTGGCATTAAAAATGAGCCAAATTGGTCAGAGCAGAAGGAGGGCCGCAGTGGAGCGTAAACTGAACGCAACTCCGTTTTGTTTAACAAACATTTTTGGTTTTTTACTCGTTAGAAGGTTGAAATTTGAATTTACACATTTACTTCACGAAGCACTCTACTCTTTGGGTCCAAAAAATGGAACTAATTGGCCATGCCCACACAAAGCTACGAGTAATTAAATTTTCTTTTTCACTTTTTTAAAGTTTTATGCTTATTTATCATAAGGCAAACAAGACAGAATGTTTAAAACTATTTTGCGCACTCGTCAAATGAAGATTTATTATCTGCGCAAAAATGGGTTCAATTTCAGGTGAATATGATGGACACCGCGATTAATTTTTTGCTAATAACACCAACCATATGGGTATCAAATAAAAGAACTTGGAGAGTAGAAAGCGAAAAGTATAGTGGTAGGTAGGCGGGATTCGACCCCCGCTGAATACAACTTTCTTATTTGTTCTTTTTTATGCTTGCATAACGAATCGAATTAATTTAGCCATTTCGGCCTAGCTGTCTGCCTATCGATTTGTCTTTCGACCGCTATTTGAGCTTTATAAAGAGAAACAAATTTAGTTTCGGATCGTTTCGGATCGTATTGTTAAGCCAACATCCCCTTTCTGGTTGGTGATGTGGGGAAATCTGTTTCCACGTTTCCCTACATCGCTATTGTTGTACACTCGGTCTTCGGACTCTGTGCACTATAATTTTTTCCCAAGAGGTTGAGATAGGCCTCGCTCCGCCCAGTGAGAATACCATGCTTATGCGCATGGTATAGACTGGTTTTCCTTCAAATGACTATCTCATACCGAGTGCGGGTCTTATGGGACCTAGAAAGTCCGACCGGAGACTTTTATAAATTATTTTCCAAATTTTCTCCTCAATTTCGGTACCACGGGCGTCAGGAGCCCACAAAGCACTTCCTCTAGCTTTGGCCTGACAACGGGAACGGCCCATAGCGGGAGTTTCGCGGTGGCTGTGGTTGGTCCAAAAATCGCGGGAAGAGCTTCTTGCTCGGTGTGGAGTTGCATTGCAACCGAGTGCCTTACCCACAGAAAGGCAGAGGTTTTAGGTAAGCCTCGCCCTCACCAGAGGGGAGATGCGACCATAACGTATCTCGTCTGGTACTCGGGGACTTAATATTCCTCATGGCAACGTGTGCGCCGACTTCGGCACCGTATGTTGCGAGGATTATTAACCTCGGGGAGTTCGAGTGTTTCACACTCCGTGTGCCATCGGGCACCGTGGGGTTAAACCTTCACGGTAGTGTACCCACGTTAAACCCTCGGAGACATCTGTTAATTCAACAAGGCAGGCACCCACGTGAAACCCATGTCACAATCTGCTAATCGCAATAAATGTAAAATTGACTGAAATATGGGCAAGACATCACTTAAAGTTATACAATTTTTTTATTGCATAACTATTGCTTTTAGTTTCTGCCAATAGCGAACGGCTACAAAAAAAAAAAAAATCTGGTTACATTTTCAATATAT